GAGGGATGTAGGGCACCTTTCCCGCCCGGGGGCCTGCCTGGCTTACTTTAGGGACACCCCCGACACCACCTGCCCCTTCTGCCAGCAGAGGGAGGCGCGGGCGCACACTTGCGGGGCGCAGCCCCTCTTCTGCCTCCGCGGTTCTGGCTGCGCTTCTTCCCGCATCCCTTCTCTTCTGCCCTCCCCGTCCGTGGCCCCGCCAAGGCCTGGCACCTCCCGCTCAGCCTCTCCCCGGCTCTGGAAAGTTGGCTGTCTACAAGACCAGGAAAGAAGCTCTGGCCAGGGGGAACCTGAGCGAGTGTGGGGCTGTCTTCCTGGACCTCTGCTTAGGCCCCTGTGCCATTGTGCTGGGCAGCCTCCTCAGGCTCCCTTGACTCGGGGGGCCTGGGTGCTGGCTTGTATGCTGTGCTCCATGGGCGACTGGTGCCTCCTGAGTCAGGGGGAGCACTTGCCCCCCCAGCGGCCAGTCAGTGACCAGTGCAACTGGCCATGGGGGGACTGGCGACCGGTGCAATTGACCCCCCTCGGTTGGCAAGATTGGCAATGGGGGGACTGCGGGGATTGCTTCTCCTGGTGCCCCCACTCCCCGGCCAGTGCTCTCACCTGCCCCGCTTGCCCATAGCCTAAGCGGGGAATGCTGCTGTCAGGGGGTGCACCAGCACTCTCAAGGGGTGCACGGGCACCCCCATGCACCACTGCTCTGCTCAGTGTCCACTTCTGGACCCCTTGTTTCGAACCTGTAACCCTCACTCCTGCTCCTGTTTTCTTTTTATTTGTCCCAAGGAATCAGTTGACGTGTCCCCACTGGCCTCACTTATTAAGAGAGACTTATAGTAATTCATGATGGACCTACGCCGATGATTTTAAGGCACATCAAATAGGTCTGACTCGTGAGTGGTCTGGTGTGCTCTGCTTGGTGTCCCTTCTCGGTGCACTTGTTTTGAACCTAGGACCTTTGCTGCCATCCCTATTTTGTCTTTTTGTTGTTTCAAGCTATCACTAATGTGCCCTTATTGGCTCCCTCATCAAGGTGGGGTTATAGCTCTACTTGTTGGGCTTCAGCCCATGTTCTCAAATGGCACAGCACAAGGCCTGAGGACTGGGCCCCCCTACCCATTCTGTCCACAGAAAAAGTTTAAAACATGGTCACAAAGAGGAAGAGGAAATAACAAAGTCAAACAAACCATAAGATAAGGACTTTGGGACCTGAAGGTCTAAAGGGCTACAAGCCTGGCAAAGTCAAGTGTTTTCTTCTAGGAAGCAAAATTTACCTCAGCCTGGTGTGTGGGATTAGCCTGCCGTGGGAACAAGTTACTTGCTATATGATTTTTTTTCAATGTTTCGTGAGATGTAATAATGAAAGAGGCTTTGTGACACTCATATCTATTGTGTTTCTGTGTGATAATGAAGCACATTGGAACATTTAACAGCCCTCACAGGGAAGTGGATAAAGGATCCTTTATTGTAAGGGTGCCACAGTGTTGCTTCTTTACAAAGTGAAATAGAGTGGAGGGATAAAGGAAAATGGGTTTAGTTTTTACTGAGCCTGTTAATGAGTAAAACTGCAGGAAGCCCCTCTGTGAATGACAGCTGTTGCTGATATTTAGATTTATCTTCTGTCAAAACGCTAGAAAATATTGTTTGCCGCACCGAAGGCTCAAGTCATATTTTTACTGTCGCATGCGCTGTTTATAATAAAGCATAGAGAGACAACTAAATCACATCAGGTCTCATAACCTCCCTCCCAAGCTGTGAGGGGGTTTGAAATCCAAACCAAGATTCAGAGCCAAATTTTGCAAATGCTTCTTATGTCAGTGAAGGGCCAGAGCAAAATCTTGGTTCTGACCATTCCCAACTTTGCAGTTCTTGGAATCCCCTTATGGGGTCCTGAGCCCAGCTCTAGCTTTATATTTTAGACACAGCTATAGATGACTATGAAGATGCTGAATTAATTTTTCCTCCAAATTTCTGGCACAAACTCAGCCTAGTTAAGCAAAACTGTTTCATAAATCTGCTTTGTGAAGCAAGAATGAAAATATGTTAACACTTCTGCCAATAATTGGCTCGCATTCTCTTCTTACACTTCTTTTACACCTCTATGGCTCCACTGACTTCGCAGAAGTAACTCCTGATTTACAGTGTTGGAAATGTGAGGAAAATCGGGCCCCACAATGTCTTATTAAGACTCACAATGCAGTGTAATGGAGTTCTGGGCTGAATTGGGCACAGCACACCTATGTATTTATTTGTAAATTCCTATATATTGTGTGTGCATGTTTGAATAGAATAGACAGACACAGAGATTATGACTTTGGATACAGCTGGTAATCGTACAATAAATATATATTCTGCAATCGTGCTGAAAAAGCTGAACTCCATTTCCATAAGTCTACTATGTAACACACAGTGCTTAATATATTGTGCTTGTTCAATTATACTTTTACTGAGCTAGAGTCACAAGAGACTGCAAGCTTTTCAGGCTTTCTGGTGATTTCCTTAAGGTATTTCAGCACTCGGTCATAGTACAGAACATAATAAATTGCACCATCTGTATACATAGTTCTTGGTTCCTGACAGAATGAGAGATAAGGCTCTAGGCATTGTAAGCCAAAAAAATACAACGCAGATTTCTTTTCTTTCAGTGTTTACAGTGACTTAATGTCAAAAGAACTGTAGATTTTGCTGCCATTAGCAACTGTCCAAGCACCAGTGTCTAAGTGTTGTTCCTTCGGTTCAAAGAGACACCAGGGAACTGAGGACACAGGGGCCAAACCTCTATCCTGTTATACAGGAGCAACTGCAATCCATAAAGCTGCATTAATAAATAAGAGCAAAATTTGGTCTGGGTAATCTGCATCCTCTTTGCTCTGGGATGATAACTGCCATATCCCTTAATGATACTACCAGACTTCAGACACTAAATCAAATATCAACTGAGTCAAATCCTGCAGTCCACACAGAGGCACATTTCTTGTTAAAGTAAATAGTATTGTGTAAGTGCTGCATAGGTACCCTGTTCTCCTCCAGTTAACACATCAGGCCCTTCATTAACTTTAAAATTTTCTACAGAATTGTATTTCCCCTCTGTGGACAGAATAAACAATATTATTTCATGTTTAAAAGAATTAAAGTTTCAAGAAGGGGCACATTCCTAACTTTGAGCACTGAGTTTACAGTTAAGTACATATTTAAATGCTTTGCTGAATTGTGGCTTCAAAAGGGGACTCAAGTTCAGGGCCAAAGTGGAGTTAAATTGGTTTTAAGTATATGTTTAAGTGCTTCGCTGAATCACAGCCAAAATTAGTATGGGGGGATATGATATTCTAGTCTGGAGACACTGGGCCAGAATCTATTCCACCTATTTAGGTACAGGTTTCTCTTGCTTTATGCTGTACATGCATTCCTGGAAAACAGCACATAACTCAAATTCAGATAAAGGGAACCCACTTTACAATGTAACAAATAGGGATATGTTCCAAGACCTCGACTGTACTGACCCCCAAACCCAGTTCTACCATTTTTACAAGACAATTTTGGTACTCTCCAACAGCAGACAGTACACACAATCACAGGGTACTATCATAATGGGGTTGGCACCTATAGAAACACGTGTCACAGACAAGGAGCAAGGAGCACAGATCCATAAAGGAGGCTATATTTTAGTAATCATCACTCCCACAATGCACCGCACCAAGCAGCTAACTGTGGGCTTCCACCGCACAGATCGCATAAGAGTGAACTTACCTCACATAACACATTTTTGGTATAAAAATGGTCATCACATAAGAGCGAATTTACACATACAGAACCCGCATAAAGCAAGGGAAACCTGTACATAAGTAAGTAGACTTAGGCATCTAAATGTGATTCTGTTTTACCCTGCTCGAGTCCCTGAAAAACAGTTAAAAGGAAGGTGGGTCCTACTTCTCCTCACTGCTTTTTGGTGACTCAATCTTAAGGGTAAGATGATGGCACGTTGCAAAAGTAGATGCATGACTGGATTTTAAGGAACTTAAACAGAATGAAATAGAATCATGTTTCAGTGCCTAAATTCACTTAGATGCATAAAAGGTAGAATAGAACCTGCTCATAGGTGTGCACTGAGACAAGCATGGTTTAGTGGCCCAGACCTAGAAATGAAGAACCCTTGAGTTGTAAGTCTCAGTCTGACAACAAGTTTCTCTGTAACTTGGGAGCAGATCCCCAGCTAGTGTACATTTTTAACTTCAGGATCAAATGATTACACAGTCCATTGATGATGAAAAATGCTGCAGAACTGCATACTGCAAGAGCTTGCATTAGACATAGAATTGGTCGGAAATAAGTTCTGTCTGTTTCAGGGAAATGCTATTTGCACTGTGTTATTCAAATGATCTGTCAAAAGTAACACAACAACAAGTTCCCTGTTTTAGTCACACCCATATAAATTGACAACAACTTCAATTTAATGGCTGGGGATTCTCCAAATTTACATCAGAGTGACTAAGAGGAGCAGGTGATCTTAAAAAATTACTCTGGTCTTTGGTTTGATTATATTGATGGGACTAATTTATCTCTTTTTATCAAGTAGTGACAAAAATATAATCATAACAACATGAATAGTGTGACTATTGAGGGAACCTCCCAATGACTGGAACACTAGTTACTTATCAGCATAATCATTAGCTGCATT